AAAGAAAAGCGAGGAAAAGAGAGAAAGTATGATGCAAATGGGAAAGCCCGATGTTACCTATTCGGGGAAGGGCCTTACCATGAGAACAGGCCTCCCATCGGCCCTTTGAAAGTTTGCGCCATGTGCGCTCAGAATAAGACATCTGTGAAAAAATGCCCTCGATCCACTCCTTGAACCGAGGGATAGCGTTTGGGACTCGAGTGGCGGCTGCACCACCACAAATACTAGTGAGAAAAAAGGAGCTAAACATAAAATTGGTGTTTAAAGGAAAACTCTACTTACGAGATGCATTCCACTTCTCGAGGAATGACATGAACTCGGGGGGAATCAAGTCTTCGCTCCTCACCCTAACGAAACGTCCCTGCCAGCCCCGGTCTCGATCTTCATCGATACTCAAAAATGGGGCTTTGCTGGCCCAGAGTGTAAGCTTTATTAGTCCCCCTCGAAAGATTTAAATACTGTATAGGCGGAGTAGGTGATAGATGGTGAACCGATGAGATTCGGTCTTGTTCACGAAGTAACGAAGGAGGATCATGAACCTCCATAGTGACAGATGTATCTGACCAAAGCATACTTCGTATCTCTTGTAAAAATCCAAGATAACCGGGTCCACCGGGCCCAATATGAAGGGATAAGTGTAAACACTTAGATACCTCTCCACATGGGTAGTAATGGCATCATCAGGCTCGGGGACTACTACGTACTTAGCTTCCCAGTTGCAGTCCTCTCGGACCACGGGAAGGACGTCTTCGGTAATTGAGCATATATACCTTGATGCTCCTTCACCCTGGTCCTGCACCGACGAGGGATTTTCAACCTTAAAGTCATGTACAACAGAGCAGCCCCCGGGGATGAAAACTTTTAAGGGAGGCTTAGGGGCCGGTTAGTTGGTAGCCGCACTAAGAGTAAACGTCTTGAGGACGACTATATCGGGAATGACCGTCTCGATTTCAGCGGTCAGTTAGGAAAAAGGAGAAGCGAAAAAGATGAAGAGTCGAGTGTACTGATTTGGGTAAAGACTAGGTAAAAACCTAGAAATTACTAAGAAATCTTGAAGAACAGAGGTAAAGATATGAAAATATGGAGAAGGTTAGTAATAACTTTAAAACTCGAAGGTAGAAGCTTGGTCAAACGGTGAAAAATGAATGAAGAATGGATGCTTTTATAGAGATTTCGTGTCGCTTCGCATTCAGAGGTGACCCGCCGATGGCTGACACATGTTCGAAGTCAGAAGGACGCGACTGACGGGACATTTCGGCTTCTTTGTTGTTTCTATTAAGGCGTATTGAAGAAGGAATTGAAAAGCATTTGTCGTTTCTCATCGTTTCGGTAAATCTACACTCTAAGAAACGAGTGGACTATCTGTATACAGGTAAAATCGAGCTCGTTCAACATCTCGGTTTACCGGTAAGACAAACGGAGCAGGAACGTGATGGTAAGGAATCGGAATCTGGGCGAGGAGCCTCTCGTATCAGGGTTCGATCAAAACACCTGCCCTCGGAAGCATCGGAACTACGTCCTCCGGGTTCGGTCTGAGTCTCAAGACTTCGAAGAACATTATCAAATGGCTGCACACGACTAACGAAGGGCCGTAATATCCGTGTCTAACCGGATATCACAGCGTGAATCTCGGGTATCGGCAAAAAATTAGTGGTTAGAGAAACGGAAGATTTTTACTTTTTTTAGAATTGTACTTAGGGTAAAATTCTCCTACTATATAAAGGGGGAAGATTATTATTCATGAGACACATGCAACACGCATATCAAGGCAATATACTCATATTCTTTCTATTAATCAAAGTTGTTACTTTTGTTCATCAGTTCTTCATAAGGATAAGCTCGGTCTCGAAGGCAGGCTCCTCATTAAGCCATTTACCAAGTCCTGGATCACTCTTATTATTGGTTTGGCAATTTATTACGTCTTTTATTTGTTTAATCTAACACCATTAATCATTTGTATTGAATTAATCCGAATATCCTTAAAACCACATATAAATTCAATTGTTATCCGTTTTCGAGGGTAAACACGGACAACTTACGCGTATGAGTAAAAAAAAAATCTTAATTTTTTTTCCATAAAGACGAGTTTGGCGTGTACCTAAACCTTAAATCATTTACTAAACTAGATTAGTTTTAGATTTGGTGTCCAAATTAATTATAGTTTGCTAGAAAATAGCCTATGGGAGACTACCACGTGTGCTAGAGGCGGTTATAATTTTGTTTTAGCTGAGCTTGTATATAATTTCACTAATATAAATCATAATTATTCAAATGTGTTGAATATCGGTTGCTTTGCCCTTAATTCTCTAGATTCTTTTGAATATCTTGAAATTTTCACCCAAAAAAAAAATAGTTCTCGAATTTGTATTGGTAAAACATAAAAGAGATTGTAGATGGTCATGAAGAACCAAATGGTTTTGTGGGTCTTACAGACTTGTTTTTAGTTTTATAATCCTATATTTTTTTCTGACACATGAAAAATTTAATTTTACACATAAAAAATGGCAAAATATATAAAATACCACATGAACTTGTTCTCAAATCCATGTTACACACCTGTTGAATACGGAAATATTTTTACACGCTCAAACCTTTCAAAAGTGTATCGATTACACACCACTTTCGTGCTTTACTAGTTTCACAAAATGTGTGTGTATCACACACCAATATGCTGGTGACATGTGTTATTAACTTTTAAAAAAAAACATTTAAAATTATATATATACCCCTTCTTTATCTTCCCTACCATGGCTGCCACTATCATAGTTCGTGAGAAATATTTCCAGCAAGACCAAAAAAAAAAATTACTAACTTAGAATCAAAGGACCAAAAAAACAACTTTTATAACCTTTGTAATTACTATTCCTTTCTGGATCGAGTCACAAGGGAATAAATGGGAAAAATTATCAAGTAGCGTCTTAATTGGATTTTCAACACTCTGCCATAAATTGGAAGAGATTACCAAGTAACCTTAACTAGTCAATCAAAATCGAGTTACAAGTTGAGTTCAACAATCCAAAATTAACAAGATCCAGTTGAATTTTCAAGCTTTATCAATAGCTCAACAATGGTGATTTCTGAATTTTTCACTCAACCTTCGCAAAACCTGTGATAAACTTTTAAAACTAACAAAAATAAATGATTTTTAAAAAACCCAGTTGGATTTGATTGCTGCATTACTTCGACAATGGAAGACGAGAGGGGCGAGGGGGTAGTTGCGGGATAGATGGAGTTAGACAATGAAATGCTGGGGGAGAGTGGGGATGGTTTGGGACAGGGGTTGGGGCGGGGAAGAAGACAAGAGTGGGAGGGGTTATTTTCTTTTTATTGGTGTAAAAAGGAAACAGTAAAAAGTGAAATAAAGCTTATGATATAATTTTGTTTTTTGCATTCACGCGTCTAGGTTATGTGAATAACAAGCGAATGCCACGTAATTAAAATGGTGTGTAATAGACACTTCTAAAAGTTTTAAATATGTAAAATTATTTTCATAAATCAAAAGGTGTGTACGAAAAATTTGACTACAAGATTTTTATGTATTTTGCTTTAAAAAAATCTAAAAAAAACATTTTTTAAATTTGGACACTGCATATTACCGGGTAGGATGATTTCATTTCCTTATTTCAAGGTGAAATCAGGTGAGGGTGTGAAATGACCGATAGGACGTGTCAAAAAGATTGTGTACGACTGTACGAGTCATGACGCCTCAATCTTAAAATTGTTTGGTACAATATGGATTGAGCCTAATTTGTTTTCTACATCAAATCATAGTTCAACATGACCAACTCAATTATTTTTAAAATAGTATAACTTTTTATTATAGTTGGGTAACTATTTATTTTTAATTTTTATTTATTTTATTCCTTAGTGCTATTTCTTTTATTAGAGAACTGAGTAATTAATATAGTACTTTATAGCTACGACCTTGAATATTGGATTGGGAATCAACTTGTTGAATTGATCTCTTTTAGTAGCTTATTTTATCCTAAAACTTTAACCACTTAAATTCGACTCAATCCATTTAACATGCATATGTCACTCATGACTCATCCAATATGTCAAACTTAAGTCTTAAGGTATGTTGACAGATCATCATATAAAATTAGATCAACTTTGACGCCAATTGAATGAGATTCTTTTATTAGTAGAAACTTCTTTAAATCGCTAATAGGGAAATACGAGGAACCTACGTTGAATAAAGTAATCAAACCTAAACTTTCTATCTGTTGAAAAGATGCATTTAAGTAATGTCAATGTTAATTAGACATAAAATCATGTAGGAAAGAATGATGGTGAAATTGTTGCATCAACTATCGCACAGCAAAGACGAATTCAAAATTTAAAGTTTATAAATTCTTTATCGTAATCTCAAACTAATATACAATAATAAATGAAAAATATTTTATAATTTTTTAATAAAAATACAAGAGCTACATAAAAAATATTGTGTTTCCGAAAATCCATATACAATGTTTTAGATCTGCTACTACTGTTGCGTGGCCACGCTTAAGATTTAAGGCTTTTACCACGAAGCCTACTACGGAACTTCTAATATGTCTTGCCTTAAGTTAAAAAGAAATACTTATTTGCATTTCTTGCGCCATGGAAATTTTTATTATTTAATTATTAATTTATGAGTAATATTAAATTACGTAATTTGGTAAACATACTGTGAATCACAAGTATTTTTCCATATTATTACAAATAGAAAGAAATGTTTGTCAGCTTTTGATTCTTTTCTTATCTATGATGTCGGGATTCTTGTCCTTTCCACCCAATTGGGACTAAAAGTTGCACTCTTTTAATCAAACAGTCCACCCGCCAGATTTGATTTTTTCTACCAAAATTCCTCAGCGAAATTTCCAGGACATATCACAATGAGAATAAGACTTTGCTACTAGATGGGGATCTAAAATATCTAGAACATAAGTGCACCATAAAAAAGAAAGTAAAAAGTATATAAGTAAATCAAATACACTATTCAACCTTTATTAGATATGATGCAAATATATAATATTGGACGAATTATAAAAAATATATACATAAAATATCTAGTTTGTACCACCTGCTACTACTAATTATCAACTCATTACCCTCAACTTTTTCAGCACTTTTGGCAATTCATTCTAACAAACTCAAGTTCTGTTTCTCTGGACAAACACAAAGTTCATTTCCATTGATTCGAAAAGAAGCCCGAGATGGAGAAATTGTATCAAGCAGCTGTTTCAGTTAATTGGGAGAAAGAGTCTTACCCTGAGTACAAAGATTTGATTTTTCTTTTCTTTTTCGCTCTCTTCTTCCCCATCGTTCGATTCATACTCGACAGATTTGTTTTCGAGGTAAACAAAAATCTGCGTTTGTTTTCTCTAATAAGTATTTTTTTTTATCTCTTGAAAATCTGAGATTGATCATTTGGTCCCGGCAATATATTTATTTTTACCGTGATGCTAGGCATTGGCTACGCGCATGATTTTTGGAAATACGCAAAGGTTGGTAAATATCAATGGCGGTAGGAGGAGGAGGATCAACAAATTCAAAGAGTCAGCATGGAAATTAGTATATTTTTTATCTGCTGAGATATTGGCACTTGCTGTTACTTGTAATGAGCCTTGGTTCACAAATACTCGATATTTTTGGTCAGGACCTGGAGATCTGGTTTGGCCTGATCTAAAAATGAAGTGAGATTCTTAACATCTTCTAAAATTTTATAATCACATCTGAATCAGGAACATAGTGTTTATTTTATAACCTGGCTAATTTGAATATGGCAGATTAAAGCTGAAAGGGTTGTACATGTATGCTGGAGGGTTCTACTTATACTCCATATTTGCATTGCTTTACTGGGAAACAAGACGCAAAGATTTTGCTGCCCAAATGGTTCATCACATAACAACAGTATCACTCATTGTGTTGTCTTACATTTTCGGGTATGATTATACCTTGATCCAAAAAACCACCTTTTTTCGAGTATTATTATTTAGCAGAAAGATGTTAGTGTGAGTTTTTGAGCATTCTGTTTTTGCAGGTTAACCCGTGTTGGAGCAGTGGTTCTAGCAATTCATGACGGAAGTGATGTATTCATGGAAATTGCAAAGATGTCAAGATACAGTGGCTTCCAAAGGATTGCTGATAGATTCTTCTTAATTTTCGCATTATCTTTTGCATCACTTCGTATAATCTGCTTTCCCTTCTGGGTACTCCGAAGCACATGGTGAGTTCACTACATTTAATCAACCATTACCACTATGCTCATAGTAACATACTACTTCCTCTGACCCAATTTATGTGTCATACTACTCCGAAGTAAAGGGAATAGTATAATCAGAGGGGATAAAGGATTTGGAGCTTGCGGGTGCCACGTAGCTTTGAATGTCTATGTGTCGCTATTTATACATTGAGATAGAGTAAACATTTCGTCGGTTTGAGCAACTTTGGACTTTAGGGTCGGTTACTTATTTTTTTGGTATATAATATAAATCGATTGAACGAAAAAATATATTACTATAGTTACGATAGAGCGAAGATTTACAAAAGAAAATGTTATTTTAACTTTGTGGGGAAAAACAAATGTTTAACTAATAAGAGACACAAAAAGAAAGTCAAAAGTGAACAAATAAAATAAGATAGTTAATAATAATTACAAAAGAAGAAAAAAGAGACGTGATGTAGCCGGCCAAAAAGATTAAAACCTGTTGCCAATGGGGTTCAATCCTTCACAACCAAGGTGGAATCTCCTACCCTTTGTCATTGACACCTTTGTATCATCTATTACTCCGGGTGGCGCTTTAAATATATATATACGATTTTATATATATATAGAGAGAGAGAGTTTCGACCGAAGCTTGCGGGTGGCGTACCACCCCAATCGATCCTTACTAGATCCGCCCCTGGTAGTATTTATTTAGCAGTAAAGAAAATTAGCCCAAAGTTTATTTATAATTGAGCTTGTTGTTTTCTGTTAGTTCATTTTCTCTGTACCATACCATGACATGAGCATTTTCTTAACTCTGCAGCTACGAAATTCTTTTCATAGTGGACACAGAGAAGCACCGCGCTGAAGGAACCATACTTTACTTTTTGTTCAATTCACTGCTGGTGGGCTTGCTTGTTCTTCACATCTTTTGGATGAGACTCATATTACGGATGGTTAATGGTCTCATAACAAAAGGCCACATTACTGATGATGTCCGATCAGGTAAATAACCTTGCTTCATTTATCATGTATACTTCCAACATGATAGCTTGTGATCTTACACTGCGCTTTTTTAAAATGATTTGCAGATTCTGAATCCGATGATGAGCACAAAGACTAATCCTTCAGCAACTAAGATTAAAAAAAAAAAAAAAAAAAAAAAAAAAAAAAAAACATGGATTATGATGCAGCAAAGGTTCGAGGCATTATAGGCGTCGCTGGAAAGTATTTCGTGTTGGGGGCACCATTAATTGATGTTGATGAACAATTAAACTAGGAAAATTACAGCCTCCCTTTATTCGGAGTTCCAATCATGTGTATTTTGCCTATATGTATAAAAACGAGTTTCATTATTGGAATTATGAACTCTTCGGATGAACTTTCAATTTAATCTGTTTCAACTGTTTCACCCGTAATCAGGAGGAGAGCCTTAGGATAACTGAGAAAGGTGCCTCCATGTAACCATGAGGTAACATGTTCGAGTCGTGGAAACAGCATCTTGCAGAAATGCAGGGTAAGGCTGCGTACAATAGACTCTTGTGGTTCGGCCCTTCCCCGAACTCAGCTCATAGCGAGAGCTTAGTGCATCGGGCTGCCCTTCAACTGTTTCAACTGTAAACAGCTAAATTCGCTGCATATTTGAGTAACTCATCCAAAAAGAAAAAGAGGGATATTTGAAAATTTAAGAAAACGATATACAGGAATCTTGCTCCCAGATATAAATATGAATGTCAGAACAACGAATTACTTTAACAAAGCCATTGAGAGCAATATTTACGTCATTACGCAGGACAAGTCTTTGGAAACGTAAAAGAGTTTTGCCAATCAATGATAAACGTGTACCAGTGCGTGGTCGTCGAAAAAAGCTTCTGGAAAGATAGGCACCACAGATAGCTGAGATTTCAGTAACGAGAATAGCATAAAGGAAGGCGCGGCAGAGGAAAGGGCTGGCAAAAACAAATGCAACCTGGCCATGTAAGGCAAAAGATTCTTTTGGCGTAAGAACTATAGAGTAGATGATTCACCATTCAATAATTATAAATAAAAACGTATGACTGAAAAAGCCTCTTGCCATGGAATACAAGCTAAACAATAGCAAACTATTGCTGCTTCTCACATTTTAACAGGGAAAAGTCAAGAATAGTAACTTGCAGTAAGTTATGTAATAAGCTAAAAGATGTTATAAGATGATTCATCCGTAAACTAACCCAACAAATCTTGTCCTATACTTTCATTGAGAGAACTTTGAGATCAATTTGTCAACATGAATTATGATATCATCTATGCGAGGTCGAACTGTCCCCTGAGGTTGAAGCATCCATGTCACAAATTGGTGAAGAGCTTCAGGATATGGAGGTTTAGGCCCAGCTGGCCACTTTATCTGTGCATTTACAATAGCCAGCTGCAGACTTCCACCAGATTCCCCAAGTGCATACTCAAAGGGAGATACTCCATACCTGCAATAGAGACGATGAAAAGATTGGTTACTTCTTACTGATATATACACCACATAGAAACCACTTTCATGGTCAACAAATATCTCTATCCTTTGAAATGCCAATGGTAGGAAACAACTCAATTACTTTGTCTCAGAAAAAATAAAAAATAAGACATGAAAACTAACACCATGATGAGAAAAAGAATTGGCATGCTAAAGTAGTCTCAGTGTAAGAAGTAGGGAGCTCCAACCACGTTTATTTAACAAAACTCCATCTGATTGACCCATCGATGCTACTTTGGAATACCAGCTCCAAATAAGAGCGTTTGCACAAGACGTAGTACAAGCACCAAAATATAATGCTACGTCCATGCACAGCATGTGCAAGAAATAGGATAGTTGAGCCAACTTTTGGACAATCTTGATGCAACTATCAGCTGTGTACGGGTCATAGGATTTCACTTTCTCTTGCACAGAAAGAGCTTCAAGTATCAAAAAGAGTTGAGAGGATTCTTACATTATTGCATATAATGTACAACCTAATGACCAGATATCAGTTCTTTCGTCAATATCACATTGGCTTGGGCAATCCCATAATTCAGGCGCTCGGAAGGGTGCGGAAACGTGCTCAGATGCCCATTCCTACATTATCAGCACCAGAAAAGAAAGCAAATTAAAGAAAATGCAACATAATGAGTTAAGGTGTAATCATACTATATTATAAGTGGGAAGCCCCTAAAGTTAAAGTTAGATTACGAAAATACTCATTAAAAACTGAGTGACAGTTTTGTCCTTCAATCAAACACAATTCTATATAAAACTTTGTGCAAAAATGTAAAGTTGCACTCTAATAAATAAAAAAAGGTCAAATCTATTCAATAATAAATAGTAATAATTAATCACCATCATAATGGTGTTGAGACTCTTCAGTTAGCCGTAATACATGTACATGTTAAGAGCTAATTTTAACCGCTCCCATATTCTATCTTATTTATTTTCCCTTATCTTGACCTTCCAGTTTTGTATGCATTCCAAATGAATTCTTAATATATATCTATAAAAATAACAATTTTATTTAAATAAATAACTAAAAAGTAGAAGTAAAATCTTAAAAAAAAAAAGAACGTGGGAAGTCGTTGATTGCCGCAAATGATAAATATAATTACATGGCTAGCTTTTATTGTCATTTTGAATTTTAGTTTTCTTGTCTGAATTCAAACATGAAACATTTCATTAGTAAAGGTAAAAGAGTCGCACGTGTAAGTTCAATTACTTTATCAAATAGAAGTAATGATTTAATTACAAAATTTAATTATTACGTCATAAAGTCAGTATGCCTTTTTGTATCCCAAAGAATGAAAGCAGCGAAGAATTATTTCATCTGTTGCAGAAAATCATTAGAGAGTATTTAAATTGTGATCAATGATCAGCTAACATCTATAAGTATTATGCAATGCTCTTACCATTAAAAAGCTTATTTTCTTGCGATTTCACTTTATCAAAGCCTTCTGATATAACTCACTCTTGCCAAAACCTTTCAGCTTAATGGAATCACTAAGAGCTAGGCAAAGTTTTTGCAAAACCTTTAAGCTTCTTAGACTAGACCAAATCATTAGGTGAAGAGTTTCTTTCGAGCGAGATCCTTTACCACACCTAACTAAATGAAAGAAAGTAAGAGAGAGAGAGAGAGAGAGAGAGAGAGAGAGAGAGAGAGAGAGAGAGAGAGAGAGAGAGAGA